GTTGTTGTTGTACTAGTCGACGACGTGGATGTAGTACTTGTTGTTGAAGCTGGAATGTCAAACAAGAGCTTATGAGTGTTTGTGAAAAAAATCAAATTCTTACTTGTTTTTGTAGTTGTTGTTGTTGTTGTACTAGTCGAAGATGTGGATGTAGTACTTGACGTTGAAGCTAGAATGTCAGACAAGAGCTTATGAATGTTTGTGAAAGAAAATCAAATACTCACTTGTTTTTGTAGTTGTTGTGGTTGTTGTTGCTAGAATAAGTCAAATATCAAATTAGTTTTCTTCTACTTTTCTCGATGAACTTACTTGTTGTTGTAGTCGCTGTAGTTGTTGTTTCTAAAAACAAATAAAGAACATGTTACTTCTTGATATGATAGGATATATGTTTTTTTAAATAAGAGATTTTTACGTGTTGTAGTGCTTGTGGTGTTTTCTTCGGCAATAACAAGTACATATATGTTAATTATGACGGCTACCAAAGCCACCACTGCAAGTAAAATTCCAAGAGAAATCAGTAATATTTTCCGACATTTTTTCTTTTTTTCTGGAACTGATGGATTTCTGTTGTAGAAAAAAAGAGATTAAGAATAGTTCTAATAGTTTTTGCAAATGGTTAACTCACACAAAATCATCTTTGTGTGAATGTGGAGACAAAGTTGGGATGCTCTTCATAGTTGAACTGGGTGGAGACAAGGTTGGGATGATTGTCATAGTTGAGCTGGGTGGAGTATCTGGGATGATCGTAATAGTTGAACTGGGTAGAGAATTTGGGTGTGTCCTATATAGTTGATTATGAATCGGCGCGACCTTTATGAAAGAATATTTAGTTTCGTTTTAACTTTTTACTATATATCATACCTTCCTTGGCTTTCGAGCTAAAGTTCGTTTTCGAACCACTGTTACTCGGACAGATTGATGTATTTTCATTTCTAGTTTGAAACAAATATGATTATCGATTTTATTTCAAAATCGAAGAATAGAATTTTACTTTATGTCATTCCGTTTCTTATTTATATGTTAACGAGCATTGCCGAAACCTTTGTTATGTCAGTCTGATCGTAACTGAATATATTTGTACGAGAGAAAGTTCTCACACCTTGTTTCAAACAAACAAAACCAAATTATTTTATACAAGTATTCTTTTGATTAGTTTATTTTCATCACATAAAGACAATCTACGACTAGGCTTTTAATTGTAGTACAAGCACTTTGAGCTAATATGCTCAAATGTATATATCTATTTCTGCATTTTACTTGATCCATAGCCGAAACACGTACTGATTTCCAAATCAATTTATTCAATCTGTTGTGTTTCTGATCAAAATCAAATGTCAATGTGACTAATGGAAGAGATTGAATTATTTTTATTAAAGAAGCTATAGAAAAAGATATGTTTTTTATTTTCCATTATGATAGATATGCAAATTAATAAAACCTTGAGGGTTGAAAATAAAGAATTTTTGATTGATTTTTATTTTTTTAAAATAACTTATTGATTATTGACCTTGAAAAACGAACAATAATTTGTCTTATATGCAAATATGCTTTGAAATGGACTGATCTTCTATTAATCAATAGTATATGAAAAGTAAAAAGCAATAACATATCTTATTTGAGTATTGATGATTAGTTATTTTGAGCTTGTCGACTGATAACATTGAATGAAGAAAACTGATTTTTTGGCTTTGGAGAACGAGAATGTGGACACATTAATAAGTCATCTAGATACTCATTTCTATTGGATTATACTAAGTGTGTGATTATGAAGTTTTATTAGAGCCTCACCTCCACACCCTCAGGAAAATATAAACGATTTATTGGCATAAACTAATTTCTTAGATAAATACCGGCTAAAAAAAAGATTTATATAGAAACGATTCGTCGTTATCACAATAAAACAATTGTAATTAATCGACTTAATTTGTTTATAATGGTTGATATAGTTCTGCACTCTTCAAAATCACACTAACATACTCTCCACCAGTAACTAATACTTTTCCATTCGTTAATACGGATGCTGTATGCTCAATTCGTGCATCATTCATGTTACCGATAGTTGTCCAAGTGTCTGTTGATGGATCATACAATTCAGTACTATCTAAAGCATTGTGATAAGCTCCGCCAGCAACTAACACTTTTCCATTTGATAATATGGATGCTGTATGGCCAAATCGTGGAGTATTCATACTATCAACAGTTGTCCATATTCCAGTCGATGGATCGTACAACTCAACATCATCTAACGCACTAGTACCATTAAATCCACCAGTAACTAATACTTTTCCATTCCCTAGTACGGATGCTGTGTGTTTTTCTCGTCCAAAAATCATGTTATCAGTAGTTGTCCAAGTCTCTGTCGATGGATCATACAGTTCAGCACTATTTAAAGCATAAATACTAATATGTCCACCAGTAACTAACACTGTTCCATTTGTTAATACAGATAATGTGTGTGCACCCCGTGCACTATTCATACTACCAGTATTTGACCAGATCTCTGTCGATGGATCATATAACTCAACACTATTCGTCCACTGGCCATTTGCGTCTGCTCCACCAGTAACTAGCACTTTTCCGTTTGTTAATACGGATGTTACGTGTTCGGCTCGTGCATTATTCATACTACTAGTAGTTGTCCAAGTATCTGCTGATGAATTATATAATTCAGCACTATTCAAAAATTCATGACCAGAAAGACCACCAGTAACTAATACTTTTCCATTTTTTAGTACGGATGCTGTGTGTTCACCTCGTGCATGTTTCATGCTACTAATAATTGTCCAATTTTCTGCTGATGGATCATACAATTCACCATTATATAGAACACCATGGTCGAATCCACCAGTAACTAGTACTTTTTCGTTTGGTAATATGCATGCTGCATGTGACCGTCGTTGATGATTTAGATTACCAGTTTTAGACCATTCTAAATGAAAACATTCAAATGTTTTCCTTCTACAAGAGATGATTGAGGATGTGGGTGTATAATTAGTATGATATCCACACCCACACTCGATGACGAGTCACTAGAAGTTTACCTGACTGCCGAGTAGTGGTCGTAGTTATTGTTGTTGTTGTCGTTACTGATGTTGTTGTTGTTGTTGTTGTTATTGTCGTTGATTTCGGCGGGGCTGTTGTTGTTCGTGTTGTTGAAATTGTTGTTGTTACTGGTAGTGTTGATTTGGTGGCAAT